AATTTTAGGGTAAATAGTTTGGTGCCCATCGTGGGGCTAAGGATAATAGTGATTGCTTAATATTAACCTTCATAACACATGCTGCTTTTACGCTTGTTCTCGTAAGTGTCTTTGATTTCAGGAATCAATATGTCGAACTCTCAAGCAGTACCCACTCATACAGATACCGGCCTTGGCCTTCATGGCGAGAACGAGCACATAGTCGCCCCAAAAAACGGAGTGCCTCCAATCAATCCCGACGCACCACAGGTCGTAGATCCAGTTGATGTCAATTCTCGTGTCGCCATTCGTGCAGATTTAGGCGCCGACCCTGAAAATAGCGTCCGTAGAGACGCCCGGGCAGCCGATCAGAATGTTTAGTATGGTGAAGAAGGCGAAATTAGCCTTCGAATGATATTTGACATGCTACAAACTCAGCAGGCCGCGATAGCGTAGCTCCAAAATCAGAATCGAGCACCAAGCAGAATCGAAGTCGATACATCACAGGAAGTTGTTCATAGGGTCGAACCTGTACAGGAGAAATTGGATGATAATGGATCAGGAGCTGACCCCGCCATCAGGAAGATGCTCGAGGAGCTCACTAAATGGATCGAATCAGGAGAAAAGAAAATTGAGGCTAATGATAAAAAGGTAGAAACGTACAACACACGGGTTAATCAAATACCGGGGGCACCCCCAATTCTAAAGGGGTTAGACTCGAAAAAGTTCATACAGAAGCCTTTCCCACAAAGTGCGGCTCCGGAGCCCATTCCGAAGAAATTCCGCATGCCAAAAATTCCCAAGTACAATGGAACCACTGATCCTAATGAACATGTCACTTCTTATACATGCTCAATAAAAGGAAATGACTTAGAAGACGATGAAATCGAAACTGTTTTGTTGAAAAAATTTGGAGAAACTTTATCGAAGGGGGGTAATGATATGGTACTACAATTTGCCGCCCAATTCCATTGATTCTTTTGCCATGCTTGCCGATTCGTTCGTAAAAGCACATGCCGGAGTAATAAAGGTCGTGACTAGGAAGTCAGACCTCTTCAAAGTGAGATAAAAGGACAACGAAATGCTAAGGGAATTTGTATCTCGATTTCAGATGGAACGCATGGACCTACCCCCGATTACCGACGATTGGGCAGTTCAAGCCTTTACTCAGGGTTTGAATGAGCAAAGTTCAGTGGCATCACGTCAACTAAAGCGAAATTTGATTGAATATCCAGCGATGACTTGGGCCGATGTGCATAACCGATACCCGTCAAAGATCAGAGTTGAGGATGATTAGTTGGGAGCCCCTTCCGGTTCAGTCTACCCAAATAGATATGAAGGCAGGATTCAAAGAGACATCGATAGAGAGCCCCGATCGAACAGAGATCGGTACCAACCATATAGCACAGATCGTAGAAACAACGGACCGGGACGTAATCCCGTTCGATATGATCAACGGAATGATCGAGGTCAAAATTCCCGAGGGCTCGTGAGTAAGAGTGGCTTCGATAAACATGTCGAGCCTAAATAAGCGCCACGGTTATTGGAATGCAACTTCAGTGTTGATGCTTCAGGTATTGTGTCGGCCATTGGACGAATCAAAGATACTAGGTGGCCCAGACCCCTACCGACCGATCCAGCTCAAAGGAATCCAAATCAAATGTGCAAGTAACATGGAACCCATGGACACAGAACCGAAGACTGCAGACAGTTAAGGGAGGAATTAACTTGTTTATTCAACGAGGGTCACCTTCGAGAGTTCTTGAGTGACCGAGCTAAAATCACTTCAAAGACAGGGACGCAAACAAGAAAAACGAACAGGAAGAACTGTAGCATGTGTTTCATATGATCGCTGGAGGGGTCGATGTTCCTCAAGGCCCGATATTCAAACGCACCAAGGTGACAATCACAAGGGAGAAGCGTATCCGGGATCATTTACCAGAGAATACCTTGTCTTTCAACGATGAGGCGCAGAAGGAATTGAACAGCCTCACAACGATGCCTGGTAATATCTATCCTTATGAATAAAATTCAAGTTAAACGTGTGTGAGTTGATCCAGGTAGCTCGACAAATATCATCCGATCGAGGGTCGTGGAGCAACTCGGCCTCCAGGATCAAATCGTGCCTGCAGCTCGGGTGCTCAACGGTTTCAACATGGCAAGTGAAACCACCAAAGGGGAAATCATGTTGCCAGTAAACGTTGCCGGAACTATCCAGGAAACAATGTTCCATGTAATCGAATACTGAATAGTATTTATTTAAAACTAGTATTGAAAGGGTGTTTTTTTTTTGGTTTTGCGTTTTTTTATTATAAAGCAAACATCGTATACGAATGCAGACATATGAATCTTCAGAACAGATGAATCAAAAAGTTATGCTGCTAAATTTACGTTTTCCCAGTAAGTGTCCAATGTGTTATTGAAGACGGATAAGGTCACTTTAAACAGGCAATTCTCTAGCGTATCTAGCATTTTCGAAAAGAACTATCTATCACAATAATAACCCACGATTTGTACCATTTGGACTTCAGAAATTGGTTTTGTCCAACAAATATGGGATCTGGTATAAAAGAACTCGCAAGAGAACTATGTCCCTTTCTTCCAGAGATTGGTCTTGCTTTAACCAGTAGCTAATTCCTCACCAACCCATAGATTGGGGTAAGTACACAAATAGCCCTCTAAGTAGATGGTCTTGAATTTTCTTTCTTCCTTGCCCAATGGGCAGAACTTCAAGTTTAATAAGTGTTGCATCTCGCTTGCCTCACGGACAACAATTTTAACTTTTGACCTTAAAGTTTTTTCCATGGGTTAAGCAGGGGTCAAAAGTTAAAGACTAATCGAAATGGTGTCAGATTTCTGCAATTTTTTTGCATAGATTGTGTTTGAGAAATGCTGCTCTTCTGGAAATTTAGCCTCACGTTCAGGGACCGGCCCACTTTGAGAGGTTAATGGTCCAGTTGCTTTGAACTGACCCCTTAGAAGCATCGGGCCAGACCGAGCCCTGAATCAGGGTCCTAAATGTTAAGTGGCCAGTCCGTGTCCTTTGCCAAGTTTATGAAAATTATCAACTTCGTCTATAAAGGGTCAACTATAGATTCTGTGTCCTTTGCCAAGTTTATGAAACTTATATCTTCCCTTCAACTTCGTGCAAAATGTGTCAAACTATAGATTCTAAATATTCTTACCTTCTATCAATACCAAATTACTGAACGACCAACAACCAGTAATTTCATACAGGTAAAGTCAGTTGTCTTTAGGATTATCAATCTTCCCATCAAGAGGAACAGCTTGTCTCAAATTTACAAGCTTCAATAGGTCATCTGATTATGTTTAACACTTTCATAGTTTCTTTGGGTTAGTAGGAATTATATATATATATATATACACACACACACACACACTATCACTACTGCCGAAGTTACAACTCTATCTTCAAGCCCCGTGGCTGGGAATGAGGGTTTGAAGGTGCAACTATGTTGATGGAGCAATGGTGAATTAATGCAGCGGCGGCCAAAAAAACGATGACACTCGAACACTATCTACTCTTCGAAGATGGTTGCCTGTTCATCATTTGCTGAGTTTACCCAGAGCTAAGCTCTATTATACAGAAAAATTCTACTGCGTTCACACGTTAGATATAATAGATGATGGGTAAAATTGCCTCTTTCCGCACCGCGTGCGGATAAATTTTGCACTAGTAAGGACCTCTTCAACATTATCACAGAAGATGTTCACCCTCTTTTTATAAACTAAATTCTTAAATTTAAAGCATAGATCATGTATCATACTAATTTTAGAAAATAACAAATTTTGCATGACTTAACAAGACATACTTCACATTGAAACACATCTAGACAAAAATCACCAGGCATTTTTATTTCTGTTGCATTTGAACACTAATCTCTTAAAGCCTTTCACAGTTATTTGACCACTTATCCTGAGTGAATTAATACAGCAAAATCTTAATATTCTAAAAACCTACAATTCAATCAGACATCAGATTTCATATATAGATTTCAATGTCTTACAAGATGCAGCTACTTTCGCAATTCATACAAATACAGACCTTTAATAAGTGTAGGCAAGACGCCAAAATTAAACGTTTAAAGACATGGAATTAAGACATTGATTGAATGGTCATTGGACCTTTTCCGGAGAAGGGGGAACGGAAGAGGAACAGATTGATCAGGTTATGATGTCTAATCTTAGCATATTATGTTCTCATTTACCAACAAAAAAAAACAGCAGTTCAACTTTAGTAATCAAAATCACACGTTATTAACTGCAACAATTGCACTTGGTATCAATGAAAAGAATATTCAAAATAGATCTCTGCTTTGTAAATTGTAATTTAATTTTCCAAAGTCAACTGCTACAAGTACTCTTGGTATAACAAAGGAGCTAACGGAACTCTAGTATCATCCATATCAAGAACGAATAGCAGCAGAAAATTAGCCGCAGGAAATAAGGAGAAGAATGAGCAACAGAAATTGTGTTGCAACCAACAAAGCTTTTACAGCATACAAAATGATTATCAGCAAAGCATTATCACAAAACTCAGTTGCATTACCACAAAACTCAGTTACAGGCTCATACCAATTCTGCTTTCTTCAACCAACGAAATGAACTCTACATATTTTTTCCCAACTGACACTTCACTAGAGCAAGCACCATTGTTGATGCTTCTCAATCAACACCACTCAGGCCAGATTAAAGTTGACTATAACCCTACTAAAGTAAGCTGACCTGAAGTATCACACATATTTCTGTTTGCCCAAGGAAAAACTTGTCATAAAACCGACCAATTTCCAAACCAACCACTTGCATAATCAATAATATTCAACATTGACACTACCTTCATTAAGCTATTTTATGCATCTAACATGAACAATCAGTAATCAATAGTCACAAAAAGCACACAAACCACATTAACATGGCAATCCGAAATAAATAAGCTATCAATAGGCATAAAACCACAAAATGAGCATAACATGACACTACACACTATGGCACGCGATTCATAAGGTAATATCTCATCCAATTGAACCAGAGAAAAAGTATAGCAATATCCGAATGTATTTCAAGACAAAAACCCAGTAATATCAAGTTTAAACATCCATTAATAATCAAAAACAAAACTGAAAGTAACTACTACGCCTTAATCCCAAACTAGTCGAGATCCGGCCATATGAATAACATCAAAAACTACTAAGAATAAGCAAACCTAAGCAGTGAGCACAACGGCACCACCAGCCTCCTTAATCTTCTTCTCAGCATTCTTTGAAATGAGCTTAGCCTTCACCACCACAGCCTGGTTTTCGGGCAAAACACCTTTACCCAAAACCTTAAAGTAACCGTACTGGGTAACATCAATCAAAGGAGCAGCGCCGTTGCTGCTCTTAGCCTTGTCCTTCACCTCTTGAGGAACAAGTGACCAGAGATTGTCGATGTTGATTGTTGGGCAATGGAACTTGTTGCGAAGCTTGTGGAAGTAACGCATACCGACCTTTCCGAAGTAACCAGGA